CTCCAGGGGAGAACAGAGGGGATTGCAATTAAGGGGAAGGAATAGAGAATTCTGGTTATGTAAGTCCAGCATTGGATTCCTGCATAAACAGACATCACTGGCCAGAGACAGATGTGCCTTCTGCAGAAAAGCATTGTTGTCTAATTTCTATCTAAAGCCAGAATTCATAACCCTGGATGGAAGGAAGACAACTTGAAGGGGTAGAGTACGTGAATTCCTGGTCTTGAATGTAGAATATTTTGGCCATCTTCACATGATTTGCAAAGTAGCTAAAAGGAAATGGAAATACAGGATACACAATACAGTACAGCCTATCAAATAACAGTTTGCTTCCTACTGCAGAAAAACCAGTAAGAATTATCATTCTTTTTTGCTTTGTGTTATACATTCAAACACAAGAACATGTTCCTTGCTATCTTTTGAATCTGATGTGGATTACTCTGACTGTAATTGCAGTACAGCTGTACGTACAATGTACTCTTCAAAACTGACAGTCTTCATTAACAATTGGATACCTTGGAAAATGTAGGAAAAGAGAATTAAATTGCTAAACCATATGCAAATGGTACATAAATGTTACAAATAATAAATATTAATGTGGAGGAGAAATCTGAGCGTAGTTACTTCAATAATAGGGATTATTGCAGACTAAAATTCTTCTAGATAAAATCTGCTTACGTTTCCAATTTTGGTGTAGACGGAGCAGAAGATCTTGTAGATACATTTTTTGAAGTTGAAGTTGAAATGGAAGAGACCATCTGTCGTGATCTAGTCTGCACATCTCCCAAAGATGAAGAAGGTATATGATTATTTTCTTTCTTTAGCTATGCTGTAAATGAAATGTGCTGATCATCATTCTGTTTTCTATAGTATAGTAGAAAGTACTATATATACAATATATTCTACATTCTATTTTATTCAATATAGATAATATTTTGTTAAACTTTAAAACATTATAATTAACATTTCTTAAAAATATTAGCTATTAATATATACTATATGCAAACCAAATGGCTATATAATTATATTACTATTTTATAAAAATATTATATACTTTAAAAGAAAAATATTATAACTGGTGAAAAATTAAAAGTCTACAGTGAATTATATAGGGAAAAAGAAATTACTTGATTTGGTTAAACATCTACATTGATAGTTATTAAATCTGATGTTCAAGAAGCATTTTTACATCATAGACATGACATTTAATTCTACTGTTAGGGAAAGGAAGCATATGTTTGTGTATTATTTTTCTGTAAGTTTAGAAATGGGATAAGACTGTGCAAAGTATGTTTCAAATTAATCCTTTGATTAAACTTATCTAAAGTTTAGATGTGTATTTATATGAATTTAGAATGCATATACCTATATACATATTTATTGCCATCCAAAATTGCTAGTGGTATTTGAAGTATGCAAAAACTTGAAAGATAGATAGATAGATAGACAGACAGACATGTTACTCTCTGTTGATATACAATGTTCTTTTTTTATCTTGTACCTTTAGGATTCCTAAGGGATCTGTGTGAAGTTTTACTGTATTTATTGCTACCTCCTGGAGACTTCCAGAATAAGATCATGAGATATTTTGTCAGGGTAAATTTAATTTCATACCATATTGCTGCAGTAATCCAATATTCTTTAGCCTAAGACCTGCATAATATTTGTATAAACAAGAATATGCTATTTGATTGTAATAAATATTAAATGTAATATTTTTTTTAAAATAGCTAAAAATAAAATGGGCATGATGCAGTCTGCAATTGAGAACCTGTTTTTAAAGAATTCCCAGAGTTTGGCCAAATTCATTTTGCTCTTCATTCTTTTACATCCACAACCACATGGCATTGAGCCATCTTTTGAGCAGGTGCTCTGTTGAGGCAAAGAACAACTACCTGGAAATATGGGAGGCATGCATTGATTCTCTGTTACTTCTAATACTTACTAGACATCTTACATAACTGTATGTAAGTATATGGATAATTCTATTGTGCCTGCATCATTCCTTTTATATAAAATAACGTTTGTACTTCCTTTAAAAAAGTCTCAATTTTTTTCATTCTCTCATTCAGACACATTTATGTATATATGTTTATGAGCCAGGCTACATTACAGTACTTTGTTTTCAGTTTTGTCTGCTTTATGGTTATTTATTTATGTGGTTTATCCTGACCTCAATCCAGAGGGACTGTAGGTGGTTTATTTATAATTATGCATTTTATATAATAGAATATTTCTGTGCTTGACTTGTACCACTGAAATATTTCAATTTCTAATAAGATTCCTTTAGATATTTTGCTACCTGATATTTATTTGATTTTCATATTTATGTAACAGTTGTATTTTCCTCATATCAGGAAGAACCCCCCCCCCCATAAGTCTATATTAATCACATTTTACACTAGAAATGCAGAGGTGTAATACCTGCATGCTCCTGAAGAGACCTACACCAAAGTTTTCCATTTTAGAAACACTAATATATTTGGGGTATGAGAGTTCTGTTTAAATGGAGCTTAAGGGGAGTGATTTGTTATAAGGAAAGATATTTATTTGAAATCTCCTGTTTTCTCCCTGCCACCCTGGAAGAAAGTGATGACAAAACCTCTAATAGCTGCCACATCAGCTTTTGCTTCATGTCAAATATAAGTGATACAAGGCTAAGAGTGTAAATTCTTGCTAAATTACAATCTGTAATGATTGCAGATTACATTTTGTTTCATGTTTTGAGAAAGTCAGCCACATTTAAACATAAAAAAGCAAGATAAAATGATGATGGTGGTGGTGGTGATATATCACCTTCTTTCCAGCTCTTTAATTATACTTAACTGTTTTGCCATTACATTTTCTGTAGAAACTGACAGACCACTGCCTTCCTTTTACCATTTCTTAACAACTACAGTCCTCTTCTCAGCATAAATACATTTTTCATACAGCAGCCTCTTAAGTGATGTTTTAATTCTATACTGGCCACCTTCCCTCTTAGAAATGGTTGGGATATCTGGTGTATCCTAAAACTGCCTTCTGTAAAATCAAGTCAATAGTATGATCTTTGTTTGAAAATAATCATCTAGCTGACCTTGTGTAATCTTGAAAAGCTAAATAAGACCTGACCTAGTTAATATTTTGATGGGGGACTATCTGTAGGCTAGATTGGGAAATTGAAAAATATTCTGGAAAAAAGGCAGTAGCAAAACACAATAATATTTTATAGGACTTTTTTTTTTCTGGGTACGTAGGACTTTTGTATTGATATAGATAGAATGAACCATTCATATTTTTCATTTTCAGTAGTACATCTACAATTTCTACTATAAAAATGCAGGTTTTAAAATGGTATCATTACAGGTTTCATTGTTTAATTAACAATAACTATTGATATATAACCATTAGCTATTATGGCTATGCATGGTTTGAAAATTATTAGGAAGAAATACTTCAGACTTCACACATTTGCACTATCTGTCTGCTATTCATTAATGTAGCCTAATTTTTTTTGCAGCAGCATCTTCAGGCTTAAGCAGAAGCCTAAAATATATCAGGCTATCTAATGAATAGTAAAGAGTTGCTGCACTTATACAAGGTCCCTAACACTTTTTCTGAATCACTTTCAAAATGTAGACAGCTCCAATAACAATAACCCATGTCTACATGATCTGTTGTATAAAATATTATGAAAGCTAGTTTTCATCTGCATTGTTTTCTTAGGATGCAAACCTATGTAAAGGTACCTGCATTACATTTTTACTACATTAGATATGCATAGGATTCTGTTGTTAAAATGCTTAGCATAGAGCTGACTTCCTAAGATCAAGAGGATTTAACAAAAGCAGCCTTTTTTCAGTTATCCACTTTGTGATCACATGGAGATGAAATGGGATTGCATCATGGCATTTCCTGTTATTATCATGAGTAGTATGTCTGCATTGAGGAAATGAATATTGATTGTCTTTTGTGGTGGTTCTCCAAAACAAGGATGAACTGGGCAGTAGGCTTTTTTCAGAGACCTGGACAAACACAGGTACCAAATACAGATATTCTGTATTTCAAGAATGGTAGCTGTAACAGACTGTCAATAACTAAGTTGGTTCAGAATCTGTATCTGGTCATATTTCAGATCTTTCATGCTTTCTTGCAATACTAGTTCTTGTTCACCTTCTCAGCATTTTTCTTCTTTCCTTCAGATAAATTTTGAAAGTTTGGGTGGAACTTTCAAACCACTAACTGAAGCCCAAGATGTTGATGTAGATTCTGTAATTTGAAATCAGGATAGTACAAGTTTCAAATAATTAGAGAAGCAATGTGCATTGAGTTGTCTTCTCCTTTAAGACATTCACCAACTACAGTGCTCACAGAAAATGGGGCCAGTGGATACAGCCATCCTTCGTATGATTACATTCAGATGGAAGATGATAAATGAAACTGGATTTTAGTTCAGTTATATTCTTTTTGAATTTGGTATTTGGAGTTAAAATATATGCTAATTTAAGTAAGGATACAAATCTAGATACATAAAACTGGCTTACTTACTGAAAATAATTTTTAAATTATATTAAATGTATTTTTCAAGACACATCAAAGATAAATGGATTTATCTGGCTTCTTCAGTTATTTTGGCAAGATCTTGAAAAAAGTAGTATTTTAGAAATTATATATATAAACACTAGGTCTAATTTTATTGTCCATTATTTTTCAGGAAATCCTTTCTCAAGGAATTCTTCTTCCATTAATAAATCAGCTCAGTGATCCTGATTATATTAATCAGCATTTCATATGGATGGTAAGCTATTTAAATTGGACAGAATCTTCAGCCACATAGAACCAAACCTGGCAATGCAGGAAACAGCAATTCTCAGTCTAGACAGAATTGTTAAGTAAACATACCTCAACTTCAGCTGCCTCCTATGGTCTTGAAGACAGCAGCAAAATATCCATTGACTCAGAAAAAGGCAGGAGGAAAAAAAGTTAAATCCTGAAGCATACATATGATGGAAGAATGGATGGATAGGTAGATAGATAAGCATGGATGGGTGGATAGATAGATAGATAGATAGATAAGCAGGAATAAATAGATATGCATGGATGTATTTTTTTTATCAAATTTGTCACTGTCCATCTCATTGAAACGACTCTGGGCAGTTTACAGCAGAGATAAAGTTCATTAAAATACAATATAAAAGTCCTAATAATAAATAACTTCCAAGAAAGATGGAGAGTTGGTGACTAGTTCAAGGGAGCATCGTCAGGGCGCTAACCACTCCAAAGATGGTTAGAGCCCATATTTCCCCATGCACACTGGCAGAGCCAGGTCTTTAATCCTTTTCGGAAAGCCGGGAGGGTAGGGGCCCACTGCACCTCTAGGGGGAGATTATTCCAAAGGGCCGAGGCAATGGCAGAGAAGGTACAAGGGAAATGCAACATCTTTCTGCAAATTCAAATGCATAATTACTACAGATAGTCCTCGCTTACTGATTGCAATAGGGACCAGCCACTCCACCGCTAAACGGTCCCTATTGCAGTCGGTAAATAAGGACTATCTGTAGTAATTATGCATTTGAATTTTGTATTACAAATAATTGCATTTGTATTTATTTATCTCTTATTTATTATTAAATTTGTATACTGCCCATCTCCCACCGCTAAATGTCAGTTCCTAAATGCTGTGGTTGATAAGTGAATCACCGGGGGTCATTAAGCACAATGTCACGTGACCACAAGTTGCAACTTCCTGCTGTCTTCCTCATTGACTTTGCTTGGTGGAAGCCAGCTGTGAAGGTCACAAATGGCTATCACATGACTCCAGGACGCTGCAACTGTCATAAATGCGCTGGTTGCCAAGCACCCTAATAGTGATCATGTGATCACATGACCATGGGGATGCTGCAACAGCTGCCACTTCAAGGACTGGTCATAAGTTCGAACAGTCAGTGAGTGGTTGGTAAGTGAAGACTACCTGTATTTGTATGTCGTTTATATTTTCTAAATAAGAAAACAGTGAATGTTGCAGGTGCAGAAGTTGGATATGTTAGGCCTACAATTAGTGTGGAAAAACAGTTCCATGGGTAACAAATACTCTGACACTTGAAACCTCTCAGGTTGTGACTATTGTTCTGTCTATTTTCAACAACCATGGACTTCTCTGAGCAACTATTTGAGTATTTGAAAATGAGGATACTTCACTCTTACAAAGGAGAAGAACCTTAAATGCTTCCAGCTAGCAGTTTTATTGTTAAGAAATGGAAATTAACATGAAACTGTTAAAAGACTGACAATCCCCCCCCCCCAATCTGCTAGAAGTGTTCAAAAAGTGGTCATATCTGCAAAATAGAATCCAAAACTCTCTGTAAACAATCTGCGGAAAGGTTTAGCTGATCATGGAGTGGTTGTCCACAGAGTTACTTATATAGCAGTAATCTGTATGAGAGTTGTCAGATGAAAACCTTTTCTCCCACCTCATCAGAATGTTTCACATATGCAAAAGAAAATCTTGATAAGCCTAAAATATTTTGGAACAATTTTTTGTTTGTTTGTTTGTTTGTTTTTGGATTAATGAAGCAAAAATTTTTAGCCACAACAAGATAAGATCCACTTGAAAGAAAAAAGGTGAAGTATTTCAAGAAAAGAGGATCTTGCAAGCCATTAAGGATGTGGTGGCTCTGTTACATGGTGGGTTTGTGGGGCAGCCAGTGGCATAGGAAGTAGTTTGAAAGTGAAAGAATTGATTGAACTAAATGTTGACATATCCTAAAATATATATTGTAATAAGTAAAATATATCCTCTAATAATCCACAATCAGTGAAAAAAGTAAAGCTTAAGGGTAGTTATATATATCAGTGAGAAAACAATTCAAAATATATCCAAACCATGAAGTGCTTACAGTAATAACAACAACAACAAAATAACGGTTTTGAAATGGCCTTCACAGTGCTCAGGCTTAAATATTATTGAAAATCTTTTGGAGATCACAAACATGCAGTGCATGAATAATGCTTCTAATCTAGAAGGCTGAGCAAGGAAGAGGGGGGAAAAAACCCAAAGCAACAGCTAAGAAAGACTCTTAGCTGGCTATAGGAAATGTTTGGAAGCTGCCAAAGGAGATGTTACCAAATTCTTCCTGTTAAGGTGTCCTGCGTATTCACTGTTTTCTTATTTTGACTCTATAAATAAAGGCACCTAATAATAAGTATGAATTCAGATTTGCAGAAAGATGTTGAGTTTAACTTTCTTCCATGTAAAGCATGTGTCAGCTTTTGTTCAGTTAGGAATTCGTTAAAGCATGCAATTTGACAAGGGTTGCATAAATATGCAACTGTATATATGGCTTTGGGTCCTGCAAACAGCAGTAGTCCGAGCTGTTGTATATAAAGTAATTTGATCTAGCTGTAAAGTTATTACTCTTAACTAAATGTGGAATTGAGTTTCTGAAGTAGATTTTTTTTTTAAAGAATAGCAATAATTATACAGGTAATCCTTGCTTAATGACTGTTAATTTAGCGACCATTCAGAGTTACGACGGCATTAAAAAAGTGACTTATGACTGGTGCCCAAAGTTACGACCATCACAGCACCCCTGTGGTCAGGTGATCACAATCTGGGCGCTTGTCAACCAGTTTGCACTTATGACGGTTGCAGTGTCCTGGGGTCATGTGATCGCCGTTTGCAACCTTCCCAGCCAGCTTCCAGTAAGCAAAATCAATGGAGAACTGTGGGATTCACTTAACTACCATGGTGATTTGCTTAACAACCACCGCAAAAAAGGGCATAAAATTGGGTCCGGTCATGTGATGATTCACTTAATGACCACTTAGTGACCTAAATTCCAGTCCCAGTTGTCACTAAGTGAAGACTACCTGCATTTCAAAAATTATGTAATCATTTTAAATAATTGGTGGTAGTATTTATTCATTTTAGCTTGTTAACATTGTACAGTTTAACAAGATAAATTATCCTAAATCAGTGTTAGCAATACTTAGCATTAATTTTAGGAGATTAGTTCATTTGTAAGTTACCAGAACTGAAATAATCATTTACATAATAATGTTTAGTGTATTTTGTTTTCTTTGAAACTGTTAATTTTTTGTGAATCAATAATACTTAGCTGTTCAAAGCAATGCTGACTTGAAAAGAGGGGTAGAGAATGTCGTAAGTGTCATTAAAATGTATTACTCACAAAGAAAATGGAATGTAATCACGAATATAGCCGTATGTGCTACTTCATTGGTAAACCTTAAATATATTTGTCCTTGGCTTTAAGGAGCATGCACAGTGATGGCAGGGAGATAAGAAAAGTTGAGTTATTCAGGGGATGCAGTATGAAGAATTTTTAGAAATGGCAGAGTGACTGCATACTTACGTATAAAATTCACATCTGGAAAAGTGAAACATTTTTTTTCCTCATATATTTCAGATTCGTGATTCAATTTGCAATTATGAGGCCTTTATGAACATTGTTAAAGTAAGTGATAAAGTAGGAGAGTTAGAAGCAGTAAGGGATAAAGCCACAGAAGAACTGCAGTATCTTCGGTCCTTGGATACAGCTGGAGATGGTTGGTATTGTAATGTTTATATTTACAATTATGATATAATCATAATACTGTCTGTTTTCTCTTCATATAGCATTCTCTTAGAAGCTAGAAGGCTATATAATCTTTCTTAATGGACAGATTTTCTAGTTAAGGATCAGTTGAGAACTTCAGGGAAAAAACGTGGGTTTAAGATGTAGAATGAAGATGCAAGTAGTCTTGTATTTTTAATTAGATTATTCCTAGTTTAAGCACATTAAGCTTCTTGAATTGCTAATTAGTTTCCATAACTGACCATTGGAAGAATAAGAAACTTGCCTCTTGAATAATTAGCTATTTATGATTTTATTCCATTTTTGTTCCATCGTGGAGTTCAAGTCTGCATATAAACTTGCCAAGATGGGCTATTATGTATTCTAAGGCCATGTCCTGAAAGCATAAAAGTTCCCTTAAGAAAATTTATTTATTCCAATAGACATTGGAAAGGGATAAGAATTTTGTAGGTAATTGACATAATATGTATGCTGGTTCTGCTTGTTCTGGCAAATTTAATTTATGCATCTGTAAGGGCTGAGCACTGCTTTAAAAGAAAGTTTTGTTTTAAAATTGGTTTCTCAGCATAATTAATTTTGTGCTCAGTCTATCATGAGGTAGCCTTGACTGTAGGTTTTCAAAACCTGAACTTAGGAAAAATCAATACAAAGAGAGTGTATTTATGCCCATAATGTAGCTTATTTTTTAAAAAGTGTGTCTCATTTAGAATTTACTGTCTTTTCTAATGGTTTATAGTAATGCTAGCATTTTAAACCTTTTTTCCTGGAAAAATGTAAGAATGTATTCTACTGAAATAGTTCTCAAAACCCAAATTTTTATTGCCAGCACATCTTTAATTTGGTTAATAGTTCTGTGCTTAACAATAATAATGTTGATTCCATTTTGAAAAAAAATTGCAGCAGTTTTTTTTTTAGAGATTTTTGATTGTCTTCTCCTTCTACTGGTAGCCTTAAACAATACTTTTCCAATTCACCAGAAATTTAATTGGACACTTTTTATCCTTTTGAATCTTACTTGATGTTCTTTTCAGATATTAACAATATAAAAAATCAAATAAATAGCTTACTGTTTGTGAAGAAAGTATGTGATTCAAGAATACTGAGGCTACAGTCAGGAAAAGTAAGTATGTTTCATCTACTTCGATGTATTAAAATTGTAGATAAACATCTCAGCTAACTGTGAGACCCCATTTTGTAAAAAGCTCAGTGTTATCAAAATCTTTTGCATTGCTATTAATAGCTGCTGAATGTCAGTAACTTGAATTTGTCATTTTATGTTCTCATATCACATCAGTCTAAAAAAGATACTGGTTTTGCTATATATCTGATTGATACTGAATTAAGATCCTGGCCCAAGATAAGGAATCTATTGCCAATCCATTATCAAGCAAACTTGTAAAGTGTACATGCAGTAGTGATATAGTTAACTTTATTTCTGAATCTCTGTAGCCAGATCTTATGAGAAGGTAATATCCCTGATATTAGCAAAAATAAGTCCTTTTGTATGAAGATTGCATAGCCTTATCTATTAATGTACTGTGTCTTTATTCAGGAAATAGATACTGTGAAACTGGCTGCAAATTTTGGAAAACTTTGCACAGTCCCTCTGGACAACATTCTAGTAAACAATGTTGCACTACAATTTTTTATGGGTAAGAAAACAGTAGTTAGAAATATATATATTTTGCATGATTAAAACTGTAGTGCTGTTACAGGATGCTATAAAGGTGCATGTATTTCCCTAAAAAAAAAGTAAAATAAAGGTAATGTGGAGACCTTTTTGGTCCTGTCCATTTCAGGAGGTTCACCTTCTCATATGTAAAACTGATTTAATGAACAGGTGACACGTAGACTGATTCCCTTCCCCAAAGACCCACACAATTAAGTTAGCTGTAAGTCATAGGAATGTAAACAAACTCTATTGGGAATCAATTTGGGTATTTTATGCCCACTAGATGAAGTTTAGATGGCATTAGTCTTTCCTCCATTAAAAATATTAAGCAAAATAAAATAAGTCAAGGTACTGAGATTTTCATGCAAACTCTGTGGTAGTTAAGCTTTAAAAAAGAGCTTCTATTTGAAAATTCATGTCAATGAATTAGAATATGCATGAAATGCGTAAAACATTTTGCTTTTAGTTCAGAAAAAATAGCTCTACTCACAATATTCTGCAGGAACATTCTGAGTTTGCTGCATTATCTCAGAACAAAAATTTGAATAGTTTGAATGTGTCATGTTTCATCCAGACAACAACTTTTTTAAAAATCGCATACTATAGCTTTGGAAAGCAGTGGAAATTCAGAAGAAACTGTATACTTTTTGCTTATTGCCCCAGGATCACAAGAATAAATAGGTTGGCAGTGTGTCCTGATTGCTACCAGCTAGTCAACTTACTTAAGTAGATTGTTTTGTTTCCTAAGGAGCATTTAGGTAGTCCAGTAATCCTTTCTTCACACCAAGGCGATATTCTCTGAAAAGAGTATGAGGAAACGCTAGACTCTGTGTTCTTTAAGAAAGAATAGGATAATCTCCCATTTTCCTTTCAATTATTTCCTCCAGAGCAAGCTGCCTGAAGATTAGGTAGTCAGGCAGAAAATGAATCCCAGTCAATCCACTGACACAATTGGGGTTTCTTTCAATAATGTTTGAAAGCTTTTAATGTACATTGCCTAAGCTTTGTAGACTCTCCACCTCATTGATTACTTACCCAGATTCATCCAGCAGTTTTAACAAGTCAAGAAGACATTTACTGTGTTTTCTGGCTACCAAAATTAATAAATAAAAGCTGCTTCCTGTGTATTGGAATGAGAACATGTAGCCATGTAACACTGCTGCTACTGGAGTTACACTAGCTACCAGTGTGTTTCCAAGTACAATGTAAGTGCTGGTCATAATGACCTTTGCGGCTCAGGACCTGGGTATCTGTGAGACCACCTTTTACAGGTAGATTCTGCCTACCCAGTTCAAATGAATAGAGAATGCCTGCTGAAAGTTCTCTTCTATCGTGAGATGCCACTGGAGGAATCATAGAGGCATTATCTATGGAGGTTCCCCTCTTTGGGGAGAACTTGTCCCCAGAAGCAAGGGTGGCTCTTACTCTTATGGTCTTCCAAATATTCATTAACACCTGGTCCTTTGGATAGATTTCAGCACTAAATAGGAGGCTGTTTTATCTAAAGTTGTTACATTTAATATAGCATTTTAAAAATATTTTAAAGTTGGTATACTGTAAATTGTATTGTTGGTCTAAGTGTACACTGCTTAGGGTTGCCCAGATTGAAACATTATATAAACATTAGCAAAAGAAATACAGTAAGTCCTCTCCTCTGGAGAGAGGCATCACCAGACAAACACAGAAATGTCCCCAACTGGCTGTCTGCATTTACATCCTAAAATATTTAGCAGCACACAACAAAAAAGATCAGTCATGAATTAGGGATATATCAACAAGCAAAACACTTCTTATACTTCAAGGGCCAAGTAACATAATATTTGACAAGCATCTGATACCTATTTACATTTTTTTTTAACAGTTGTGTGCATCCCTGTTAGAGAACCCTGCATCAGGAAATCAATGTGAATGCAATTGGCATTTTTAAAGGAGAAAATGGCTTCTTCAGATAGAAGATAAATGTTATATATGATTGCATTGTTTATTTATTTATTTAATTTATTCATTCGTTTTGTATAGCCGCCCATCTCACTTTCATGACTCTGGGTGGCTCACATAATCAAAAAAACCACAACCCCAAAAATGAAAATAAACAATTGTTATTGTTGTTTAGATTACATGCAGCAGATGGGAGGTCAGGCACATCTTTTTTTCTGGATAACAGTAGAAGGATACAGGGTTACAGCTCAGAAACAGCTAGAAGTATTGCTGAACCATCTGAAAGATGGAATGCATCAAACAACACAAACCAAAGGTCTGTTAAGAACAGCTGCAGTTGGAATATATGAACAGTATTTGTCAGAAAAGGTAAGAACTTATCTTTTTTTTTTAAAAAAAAATGGTGTTTTATAAAATTAGAATAAATTTGTGGAAGTGAATGATTTCAAAAAAAATCATAAAATAGTATTTGTCAGAAAAGGTAAGAACTTTTTTTTTTAATGGTGTTTTATAAAATTAGAATAGATTTGTGGAAGTGAATTATTTGAAAAAATTCATAAAATGTCAGCAGTCTGGGCATTAAAAGTTATTACCATGTTTAAACAATTGAATAAAATATACAGAACAAGGTAAGGTAGTAGTGATGACTCAAGTTGGCTTACTATTTAAACTTTATTATAATCAAAAAAGAGCATAGAACATACAATATAAAAAGTAATCACATGATGAAAGGGGGGAAACATTCAGAACTAATGAACATATAGTGAAGCTGCCACACTAGGTACTAAAAACCAGAATAATAAAAAGTATCAAAGCTGTCAGAATATATTATAGGCAAACTAATACTGAATAGATACAAAATGGATAAGATCAGGGTAGAACTAGAATCATTACAAAACTACCCTATATAAAATATACTAGAATCTATAGTAACTAGAGAATGCATAAACAGCAAAACAGTGCATAAAAGAAGTGAATCTTTTATTCTGGCCTAAAACAGAAAACAACATGTAAAAAGCAATTAACTACAGTATTCATATATATATTTTCAAAGGAGCTTAGGAGAAAAAGAAAGAAAAATCCGTCTGAGGAAAAAAACAGTTATTGGTAACATTTTGGAGAAACCAGAATCTTCCTGATTTTACATACCGCCACACAAAATTTTGCCACATTCTATGTTATGATAGAGCTCTTGTCAGAAAAGAGCAAAGATCTGTATAAATGTCTGGGATGACCTGGAAAGCATAGTAGCAGTGGTGTGATATAAGTACTTTCTACACAGTTGTCATACTGACCAGCAACTAGCACATGCTCAGTTGTTAGTACATTCTTATCCCCATTGGGCCACAATAACTCTGGATAGGAGATTTTTTTAATATAAAAGCCCTCTAAGGTGAAGGCTCTTCTGTGACCTGAATAAACCAAATTTGTAAGCTATGGGGCAGGTTTTAGAAGGTAACTTATGCAAGGATGGCTAAGTAAGAAAAATCATAACTTGTCACAAGACTGATAGATATCAGCATAATAAATATTTCTGTTGTTAATGGATGAATCTTTTTGGTATCTGTATGCTGGAAAACTGTGTAATAGCCAAAAACCCAGTTTGTTGCACAAAAACCTTAGGATCAGCTGCTGTCCAGCAAGCTGTTGTGTGAATGTGAAAAAGCCCTGATGAATTTAAATAAATAAATAAATGAATGGTTATTTCTATTTTTAGACTTCCACTTGCCTTTATATTTGTTTTCATTCTTGTGTATTCAGAATTTTAATTTGAGAATTCCAGATCTTCAGACAAAAGCCTTAGGTGTTGAATTACCTTTTCATTTCTTCTAATCACATCCCCATATAATTATTTCAATTTATGTTTCATCAATAAATATTAACTTCCTTCTAGTATCTGAAAATAAAATAATGTATGATTTATGGATAGCTTGAACTACTTGATTCTTTGCTTTTATTAAAATAACTGACATAGTTTTGTACTTCTTTCTCTAGCTTTCTCTAGCTTTATTTTATCTTCAGTAATTACGGCTGAGTTTTAATTTTTACAAATGATAGCATTAAAATAATAACTAAAATAATTTAGTTCTCTGTGGCAGGCTTCTCCAAGAATTAATATTGATGATACATTGGTAGCAAAGCTGGAAGAAAAACTGAATAATGAGGACCCAACTCCTGAAATTTTTGATCAAATTCAAAAAAAGGTTTAGTATTTTCTTCTGATCTACTAATCTGACTGTATATCTGTCTGTCAATACTTGTGACTTATTTTGTTGATTTTTAGATTGAAATGTGGAATTATTATCTAAATATATATTGCATTATTTACATCTAAATGCAATTTAGATCTAAATGCATCTATATAGCAGAAGGTACATCATAATTTAGATTACATATTTTGCATAATATTACGCTTTAATTTCATTAAGGTATATGAATTGATGCTGCAGGACGAAAGATTCTATCCTTCATTCAAACAGCATGCACTTTATGTACGAATGCTTGCTGAGCTAGACATGCTAAAGGATCCTAGTTTCAGAGGATCGGATGATGGTGAAGGAGGTAAATTGACTTCAGTAATTATGTTCTTTTATGATATGGTTACAGCATTTGATCTCTGACTCATCTGTGAATTTTGGATTTATTTAAGTGTTTTTCCTCCCTCATCATGTAGGATTTCTATGTCTTTTAACTTGCTTTTTTGCATTCTACCATGTATTTAACAAATGGGCTTACGTACAGGCACTAAAATTAATTGGGGGAAGTTCTGTGTACCTCAGTATTTAAGAATTGGGGATACTCCTTTTTTCTTATTTTGCATAATTGGACTGCTGCTGTTATTTTTTGCTTTTCTTTGGCCATTGCTAATTTCCGCAGTAACAAGTAGTGTGCATGCTTTGATTCAGAAGAACCTTCAGATCCCCATAAAAGCAACTGCTATTCATTAAAGAAATATGACTATTTTTAGGCCTCTGCAAGAACCTGAAAAAACACGCCCCTGCCTTAAGTGCCTCTGTTTTTAGGCATATGCAGAAGCTCTTTTAATGTATAACACAGACGTTCTATGGTCTCTTTGGTCCTAATACAATAATATTATACAGTTTTAATATTAAATGTACTTCTGCTATTAT